TTTCTTCCATTTGCTTTAGCTACCCTCCATTCAAGAGCAAGTTTCAGAGTCTCTTCTGACATCCATTTTGGTCTTTTCTGTCTTTTTACTGACCTTTTGCTTTCTTCATGCATGATGTTCTTGATGTCATCCCACAATTCCTCTGGTTTTCGGTCACTGGTGTTCAGTGAATCAAGTCTATTCTTTAGATGGGCTCTACATTCAGGTGGGATATAATCAAGGTCATATTTTGCCTCTTGTGGACTTGTTTTAATTTTCTTCAGCTTCAACTTTAACTTGCATATGAGCAGTTGACAGAAAATATCCTCAATGAAATTTAATTTTCCACACATGAAAACTCAGTAAATCTGAGCTCACAATACTAAATTCCAACCATTAGGAAAAAAAGCAAAAATAAAAACAAAACAAAAAAACACCATAATTAAATTGCAGAAATAACAAGCAATAGAAATAAATCTCAAAAGTACTTGGATATTAAAATGATCACATATAGATATAAAATTGCTATGTATGAAATGTCTGATGAAATGAAGAAGACACCATAAAAATGAGAAAATAACAACAACAACCAACAAAAAAAGACCAGGCAGATTTGTAAAAGAATATTACAGAAGTTTACCAAATAAAAAATATGTAACTGTTAAAATTAAAGACATGAATCTACCAATATAGGAGGTTCAACATTTATGAAGAAAAATAAAAATAAACCCAAACTCAAGAACTTTTTAAAAAATGAAACTATATAACACCAAGATCTTAAAAGAAATGAGTGAAAATTACAATAACCTTCCTTTAACCCCTTCACCAAAAAAGATAATTAGACATCTAAGAAGCAAGAATGGAAATAGAGACAGTAAAAAATATTTTCAAACAGATGAAAGAATAATTAATATTGTATATCCAGAAAGGTTACTTTCCAAGTATGAGGCTAAAATAATGACAACTTCATGTAAACAAAAATAACAGAGCTTTCCTTAACCAACTATGCACTAAAGGAACCTCGAAGTTTATTTAAGGAAAAAGAAAAATGATTTTAGAAGGGAGGTCTGATATGCAAGAAAGAATGGTGAGCTAAGAAATTTATAAACATGAATGTGACTATATCTTGTCAATATAAGATTATTCAAAATGTTTAATTTGTAGGGTAAATTAAAAAGATACAACTAAAATACTGGTCAATAACTATGTAAGTTGGGAAGAGGTAATCAGAGATAAAGGTCCATAAAGTGCTTGGGAGGGGGATTTAGGTTATAAAATCAGACTTTGTTAAATATGCATGGTAAAATTCAAGAGTAACTACCAAAAGATTATAAGTAGAGGGTAACCTGGGAACAAGAAAACAAATATAAAATCTAGAAAGGAGCAAAAGAGAAGCATAGAAAGAGCATGACAAATAGAAAGCAAAACGTAGAGATATGCCCATATACATTAGTAATCAAAACAAATATAAAATGGCTAAGCTTACCAGTTCAACACAAAGTTTGTTATACTGGATTAAGAAACAAAATTTAAACTTTAATACCAAAAAAGGTTAGGGAATGTCACTATACAATGATAAAAATCTTAATTCACTAGGAAGAAATACCTTTTTAAATGTTTGTACATTTCCTAATACAATGTAAAAGTACATTTAAAAATAACTGCTAGATTTTCAGGAAAAAAAATTGGTGAATAAATACATCACCATAAAGAGAAATCTTAATTTCTCAGTCACCAATAGAAAAACAGGTAGATAAAAAAAATAGTAAATATAAAGAAGATTTGAAGCTTTAATCAACCAGCTTCATATACAGAAGTGTGCATCAAATATTGGGAATGCATTTTCTTCTCAAGCATATACTGAACATTTAGAAATGGAATGATCTAGGTCATGAAGCAAGTCTCAGTTGGTTTCAAAGGGCAGAAGTTCTTTAATAACACTTCAATTAAGTTAGAAAGCAACAATAAAAAGATAAAACCCCATACACTGGAAATTTAAAACCACACTTAAATGTACTATCTATTAAAATGAAGGGATACAGTTAAAGTCAGACTTAGAGGGAAACGTATAGCCTGAAATATTTATATTGAAAGAAAAAAAAGGTTGACATTCAAATAAATCCACTTAAGTTAAAGATAGAACAACACAACATCTCCCCACCTCTCATATATGAGGAAAAGATAATAAAGAGCATATTTAATGAACTAGACATAAGATAATACCGGGGATTAACAAAGCCAAAAATTGTTTCTTTGAAAATAATAATGGGCAAACATCTGGGGAGATCAATCAAAGGAACAACCATGAATGCACAAAGAAACAGTAAAAGGCTATAACTACAAATCTAGATGAGATCAAAACACATAGTATGAGAATAATATATATATTATTAAAGTTATATATATATATGCCAGTATATTTTTTAACTTATGAAATGCTAAGATTCCTAGAAAAATACAACTTATCAAAACTGTTTTAAGAAGAAACAGAAAGTCCGAAGAGCCCTATAACAATTAAAGTAACTAAATCAACAGTTAATTAAATATTCCCATCTCCCCAGTGGTTGAGAAGAACCTCCAGGCCAGATGATTTTCGAGGTAAATTCTTTCAGCATTCCAAGAAACACAGCCTATGTCTTACACAAACATTGCAAGACATTAGAAAAGGAGGGAATGCTGCCCAACTCATTCTGAGGCCCATAAAATCTTCACATCAAATAATAGAAAAGTAAAGAAAAAAAATTTACAAGTCAATCACATTGATGAAGACAGATGTAAAAATCCTCAGCAAAACATCAGCAAGTCAATTACAGTGATATATAAAGTGGATAAGCATGAACTGTGGAACTGGATACTTTGTGCTGAAATTCTAGCTCCAGCACTTTCTTGTCGGTTACCCTGAACTAGTAGGTGTTCCTATGCTCAGCTTCACCATTTGTAAAATGAGAATAATAATAATAATAATAACAAACTCACAGTGCTTTTATGAAAATTAAATATTCTAATCTATAAAGCACTGAGAAAACACTGATCTTAAAACAGACATCAAAGAAGTGTTACCTGTACTATCATGTTATTATTTAGAAGATAAATACAGGCAATTTAGGTTTAAGCCAAAAATATGAAAGTGGTTTGACAGTAGAAAAAGTCTATAATGTAATTCAACCACACCAGCATATTAAAGAGTGACACTAATAAAATTATATAAACAAAATGTAGAAAATGATTTAACAAATTCAATACCCACTCTTGATTTTAAAAATGAGCAAAAAAGGAAGAGAGAGTAAACTTCTTTAACCTGATAAAAAGTATTTAGCAAAAAATTACAGGAAATGTCATTATTAGTGGTGAAATACTGGAAGAATTTTCTTTAAAATCATGAACAAGAGAAAGACACCTGCTACCACCACTTTTATTCAACACTGTACTGGAGTTTGTAGCCAATGCAGTAAGACAAAGAAAGAAAAGAAAGGCATAATGATCTAAAAGGAAGAATCAAAATTCTCATTATTTGCAGAAAACCAAAGAATCATAAAAATTAAGAGAGTTCAGCAATGTTGCTGGAACAAAATCAATACACAAAATTCATTAAGTGAACACTTTTTAAAGACATACATTTAATATATATTAATACATAGGACTAAAATTAATGAAAGGCAAATGAGAAATAAATACAATGTTATTAAAGAACATTTTAAAAGACTTTAAATAAATGGAGAGATATACTATGTTTATAAATAAAAAGACAGTGGGGTTGTAGAGAAATATTTTTGATTTTGCAGTTAGCGTTTTCTGAGAAAATATTACTAAAAATTGGGACCTGGACTAAAAGCAAGTCTTGAAAAATAATTTTGACTGATTCAGGTAGTGAGAAAAATTCAGAGATTTACTTCCTGGATGTATGTGTTTACATTTCAAGGGGTGTATATGTGAGTGATAAAACCCTGGACCATGGAGACATTCTAAGTTGTAGAGCTGGAGACTCTGCTCTTAAGTTTCTAGTGGAGTGATTTATTTACATTCCAAAGGACTGTAGTAAGAACCCAGGATCCTTTCCATTATGTTTCCAAGGAGACTCACTCAGAGCAGGGGTGTGGAAGGGAAGCAGCTGCCTCTCTTTTTTATATAAACTCCCAGTTTAATTGTGTGGGGATCCTCATCTACAATACAGACTCTCTGTGTAACAGGTTTTATCCATCTGGTTTTCGTTCTGTTCTTCCAGAGGTAAAAATGGGGCACGGGGGAGCTGTGTGGTTATTATTTGCTAGATGATAATTTGCTCTGCTCTAGAAACATTGTGTGCACATTCAGAATAATATTAATAAACACAGATACTAAAAACTTAAAGACTCAGTATGTAATGATGTCAAATCTCCTGCAACTGATCTATAGAATCAATATAATTTTAATTAAAATTCCATTACAGTTTTCAAAGAATACAGAGTAAAGAAACAGATACATACATATGGGAAAATGTGGTTTATGAAAGAGTGGTAACACTGCACATCACTGGGGAAAGGAGTGTCTATTTAGTAAATGAACAGCTGATTAGCCATATGATAGAAAACGGAAATTGCATCCTTGTCTCATATAATACAAAAGAATAAATTTCTGGTGGACTAAACTCAAATATGAAAGACCAAATTTTAACACTTTGAGATAAAAACAGAATTGCTTTACCTCAGATTTTTCATGCAAGCTGGCAAATGCACTAATCATAAAAATATTGATAAATTTGACTTCAATAAGACTTAAGCAAAAGATTTTTAAAAAAGTTTTTAAAAAGAAGGCACTAACTGGGAAGTGATATCTGTAACATACATAACTGACACAAGATTAATACTTCTAGAACTTTTTAAGAATTCTTACAAACCATTAAGAAAAAGACAACTCAAAAAGAAAAATGTACAAAGGATATTAAGAGGTATTTCACAAAAGAAGAAATATGAATGAATAGACAGACATAGGTAAAGATACTCAACCACAATAGTAATTAGAGAAATGCAAATTAAGATATCATAAAGTCTCATTTTTAGACCTGAAATACTGATTTAGAATAGATTAGCCAAAAACAATAAACCTGTTAATAGAAAGTATTGTTAAAACATAGAAACTCCAAGCCTAAATGGCTGGTCGGAGTGTAAACTGGCGTAACCACTAGAAAACAATTTGGTACTATTACATAAAATGGAATATTTGCATAGCCTATGAGCCAATTATTCTACTCCTAAGTGTGTGTGTCTGTGTATCAGCATACATGCTTAAGAATGCTCATAGCAGTATTGTTATAATGTCTATAAATTACAAACAACCTAAATATCTGTAAATAAAAAGTTAGATAAACTGTAGAATGTTCACATAATGGTATGTACTACAGCAATGAAAATGATGTGTTCTTATATGCATGAATCTTAGAAATACAATGTGGAATGAAAGAAGTAAATTTCAAAAGACCACATGTCATACCACTTTTACAAAGCTCAAAAATAATAACTAAGTAATATGTCATTTAGTGATATCTGTGATAATTTTTTATTTTTAAGTAAGAAATAATTAACATAAAATTCAGAATAGTGGTTTCTACTGGGAGGGAAGTAAGGAAAAAAGGATAGGAAATGACCATACAGGGTGATAGTACAAGATAGGTAATATTTTACTTCTTACGCTAGGGTTAGATTCAGAGGCATTCCTTTTATCATTGTCCTCCAACACTTGCATCATGTTATATTTATTCTTCTCTATGCAGCTAATGAAAAAATTTAAGAAAATTTAATATCCAATAGGATATTAAGCAAATCTCTTCATCTTCACTGGTATAATTTATCTCTTTTCACCACTACTTTCTTCTCAAAATATATTAAAAAAGGAATCTTACTATTTAAACTCATTAATAGTTGGAGAATTATTACAATAATAATTGTAGGATAATAATTGGAAAACTGTTACAATAAATATAGACATCATAGTTTCATCCTTATTATGATAATTGTGACAGAGTAATCCTACTACTGAATACAAAATAGTAATGACTCCTATTAGTATTATATTATTAAAGCAAATAGAACATCTTTTATACATGCCAAATATTAAATTGGCCATGAACTTAACTGGATCTATATACACATTGCTTGAAAATGCATTAAAAGAAGTAAAAATGAACTGATGTAATTCAGTCTTTGCAACTTTCTCTGTTAGTCCTTTAGTTTAGCACCATGAGCAAATGGTTCTTTATTGCATTTTTAATTCCCTCCATTTCTTTACTGGCAGTAAGATTTATAAATCTATCCTAGAAGAAATTCATTCTGTATTATCCATGTACTCTATATTATACCATTGAATATAATTTATACTAATCAATAAATCAATGATTTCTTGTTTACAAGTTGGCTAGTAACACAAATTTTTTTATTTGTTTACAGAAGCCACAGTAAATACAGCCTTTGGTTCAAGTATTTTTCTCTAGTTCTTGCATATTATTTACTCTATTGAGCTGTGTTAATGTGTTACAGTCTTCGCTATCAGTAAACTTAGTTGATGTTTATAATACTGTTATGTAAAATTCTTATGAAAATGATTAGCTTGCTTTTTCCATGCTGTTTTGAAAGATAAACTGCCATTAAAACCAGTTATCATTAAATCATTAAAGAAAATTTAGATTATAATCTTTTAATAATGTTCATAATCAGCAAGTTACAAAGCCTGTAATTTTTTCTATAGATGCTAAACAGATTCTCCTATCCCTTTATTTCTTTATAGTATTCCATTTTTAGTACAGTCATTTTTTAAATCAAGTACTTTACTAACTTTCTAAAAGAACACTAGATTCTGAGCTTTAAAGCTTCAAGAATGAAGTTTGTTCATCAGTAGTTACTAATCAAATTATTACACCAAAACAATTCTTAAAAAGCTCAAACCAATTTTTTAAAGATAAAATTTATAATACCAAAAAATAAATAAATAAATAAAAAATCCCTCCCAAAATCCGAAACTCAATGACATTGAGTCGGATCTGACTCATAGAGACCCCTCCTTGGGCTTCCGAGGTGGTATCACTACAGAAGTAGATTGCCCAATCTTCTTTCCCAGGAGGAGTAGCTGGTGGGTTTGAACCACCAGCCTTCTGATTAGCAGTCAAATGCCTTAGGCACTATGCCACCAGAACTTATTGTAATTCACTATTATTTTAAATATTCTAATTAAACAAGGTTAAGAATCCAGAAAAGACTTTACAATCTCTCTATATATTTTTACCTTATTTAGATCTTCCCTTTCTTGTTGTAATGCTTTGATTTGTTTTTCATAAGCCTTGATCTGTCTAAAAGCATCATCTAGTTCTCGCCTCACAGAATTAGCTTCTTCAAGTTGCTGTTCCAAATGACTTGATTCTAAAAACAAAAAACATTATTTCTTTTAACTCTTTGTATGAAAACAAATCCTTGAAACCAAAGTATGGTTGAAAGTAACTACATTTTTAAAAAGAGAAGTATTTTTGATTTTCTATTAGTTTTAATGACACCATATATCATTTTGAGTCATGACGAATGTATATTAATTCACTGTAAAGATGAATGGCTTATGCCAGTATTAAGATGCTTATGAGCAAAAATGCCTTACATATCTATCAGGAAAAAAGGCCATACTTCCCAAAATATCACGTTCAGAACCAATTAAAAACTTAAAACAAAAAAGAACAGATCCAACCAACCAAACAAAAAGACGTGTTTTTCCTATACTTGCTGAGCATCCTTGTGCTGATATTAGTCAAATTATAAAGATGATTTTGCTTCCAATATTGCATCTATTGTTGTGTTTTTGTTATTATACTTATATAAAAATATGGGTTGAAAATGATAAAAGATCACAGAGATTTAACTAGGCTAGTGAATTTCAAACTATGCTCTGTAAAACATGGCCAACATTAATTGAAGCATACAAGTGTGTACGTATATGTGCATGGTTACAAAATTCACCCAGCCCCATTTCAACCATGACACCTCTGCTTTTGTTTTATACAGTGTGCTTAAGATTTCATTTGAAGAATAAACTATGATTTATAAAATAAATGTTTGAAAACCTATGACACCTAGACAAGTCTTTCCATTTTTTAGATGCAATTTGCCTAAGGTTACATTTCTAAACAAGTGCCAGAGCTGAGACCAGGGATCAGAAATTCTTTCATTCACCTCTACAACTGAGAAGATAAGGTCATTAAACAATGCTTAACATTATTACTTCAGAAAAGCTATTATGAAACAAAATTATTACTTCTAACATATGCTTAAATAAAATTTAATAAAGTGATACTAAATGTTCCTGGCAACAAAAGTTAACAAGTTAAAGAAATGAGGTCAGTGAAAACAGAAAAATCTAAACACATTCATTGTTAATTCTGTTCTAAATACTTCGATTTTTACTACTTTTTAACCTGAAATAGCACCTACAGACAAGCCGCTGACATTCTTTAGGAGCCTGTTAGAAAAGCAGAAGCTTAGGCTCTACGCCAGACCTATTGATTCAGAATCTGTATTTTAACAAGCTACTCAGGCGGTTCTTTTACAGATCAAAGTGCAAGAATAAATGCACAAAGTATTAAGGATTGCTGAGTTTGATGCTTTCAATAAATGAAGTAGTGTTTATAACACACTGGTTCTACTGAGAAGAACATTTCATCTGTGTAGACCAGAACTGTAGTAGAAATACCACTTACATGGGTTAGTGTATCAGATACTAAATGGTTTTAGATTTTTTAAATGAAATAATTTACTGATTGATATTCAATACACTACATTTAAATATTTATTAAAATTTATTATATTAGATATCTTTAAAGTCTAGATACATTTATACTGGATAGCATAGTTTTTAACTTTTGAAAATATCTGCAAAGTTACAGTCAACTAATTTTCATTCTATCTTAACAGTAATAAAACAGTAACAAATGTTTTACTTAAAGATAGCTAAAGACCACAGGACCTGAGCGAAGTTCTTTATAATCTTAAAGACCATTAAGTGTTTAATCTTAAATTCAGAAAATTCCATTTTGCAATCGTTTTTAAAAATTTCAGCAATCCATGCAGGAATTTTTTGTTTATGCTGATTTCCTTTACTTTTAAATGATAGTTTTCTGTTATTTCAAGCTTTTAACAGTTTTAGGATTCTTTTACCAATTTCTAAAGTAGCTATTCGGTTCAAACCCACCAGCCACTCCTCGGAAGGAAGGTTGGGTAATCCTACTTCCGTAGTGATAACTGCCTCGGAAACCCAAGGAGGGGTCGCTAGGAGTCGGGGCCGACTGGATGGCAAACAACAACAACAAAGTAGCTATTAAATTGGATTGTAATTTCTAGTAACTAGGAGTCAAAATGTAGTATGTGAAGTAGCTGGCTTCTGTTACTTTCTGGTTCATTTTAATCATATTTATGGTTAAGCTGTATCAATTTGGAGTACTAGTATGATACACTCAGTAATTCTTTCTGAGTATGCTCACTTCCTTTCTGCTGCTTTGGAGGGTTCTTGTATAGCATGTTAAAATTTTTTGCAAATTGTTAATTCTTGATTTATCACAACTGTTCTTTGTCAGAAACAAAGCAAAACAAAAATAAGTATTTCATAAAATTTCTGCTTTTAAAGTCTATAGTAAACTATCACATGGAATAGCTTCAACAACTTTTAAGGTTGTTTTATTTCAGTATCATGTGAATTTCAGTTACACCCCCATCCATTTCACTTTGGCTGCTTTGTAATGGAGTTTTAAACAGAGAAATAGATGTAAGATTTCTGTATTTCTCATTCCAGACACTTTTTCAGATGCTTAAAAAGCTCAAAATGTTAATTTAAACAATATACTGTGAAGTATGAAAAGTACAAAAGAAAATTAACTGAATTAAGAAGTGTTGGAGAAGAGCAATAAGCAAAATAGATATAAAATCGTCCAATATGGAGAGAAGCACAACATCTGAAGCATTTGAAATATGTAAAAGTTTGAAGACATAAGCCTCAAATAAAATAAAATTCAAAACACACTAGATTCTGGCCAATGACAATAAAATGGCTAAGGTGGAGAAGCCTTAACTATTACTACAATTAATACTAAATTCAACTAAAACTCTAAAAGAATTTCTCAAAGATTATAAATATATTTCATGTGATATACTTAGTGGTAACATTTAGATTAAGTTATTAAAAATTAGTTTTAGTGAACAAGTAGAAAGAGCAGTACAGGGAAAGTGCATTAGTTTATTTTAACTAAATGGTTCTTAGCTTATGGCTGCTATAAAAATTCTGAAATTGAATCTGTTAGTAATGAGGATTGAATGAGTACCTAATACATACTAAGTAATTTTCTTTGCACTGTGTGGCATATTAGAGAAAAACAAGATGGTCTCTGTCTTGAAGGAGATACCAATCAAGTTAGAAAGAAAAGCGTAACATTCTTAAATTCACAAAGAAAATCAAATATAAATTGTGTGGTAGGGTATATAGGGTGCTACAGATATTGAGAGAAGTGCAAAGGGGGGAGCATAAAAAAAGTAGTATTCAAAGTGAAATACCAGTAAATTAGAAAGGAGCTAAGACTAGAGTCAAAGATAGGTTGTTAGAGTAATCAAGGAATAAATTTTCATAACATTTCCACTATGTTTCTATTCCTAAAGTAAGTGATAACTCTTCTGAGACATTAAATAATTTTACTTCAAATCTTAATGGGGGAAAGCAGGCTTCCCTGACCCCACTCACTAACTTGCATTACATAGGACTCTGTGTGTGTGTACACGCACATGCACTTTTGCAGGTATCAGAGAGAGAGAGAGAGAGAGAGAGAGAAAGTGTTAGTTACTTTACTTAGGGTTAGAGAAACAGTACACGCAGGCACAAACCAACCAACTCAGAATGTGGGTTAACAAGAACATTATATAAAAGCATTATATATAAAAAAAGTTTATTTTCATATATACAATTATTAAATGTGGATTTGAACTTTTTATTTTTGTCTAAAGACAGTCAACAAGTATGTACTGAGTGTCTGGTATATGATACCAGACATTCGCTTGGCACTGCAAATATAGAAGAAAGGAAAATAAGCTCTGTTGCTATCCTCTTAGAAGTTAGAGTCCACGAAAGCAGGAAAGCAGATATTAACAAGTAATTGTAAATAACTATGACTTTATTAAATTCTTCTAGGAATTTTTAAATATCAGGAAACAGTGCTGTAGGGAAAGACCAGATACAACATCATTAAGACTAAGTATCAGTTAGCACAAAGACCTTGCTTAAAAAGTATCTAGAAAAACATGTGATCAAAGCTGTTCTGAAAACATTTTTTTTTTCTTTAGAGTCAGAAATCCTCATCAGGTTAATTCTTAGGGGAGTCTGCTTTATCTCTAGCTCTTATGTCAAAATATTTAAAATAGCTTGCATCTAATGATGAAACCACTAATCTTTTAGTAAGCAGTCACGTACTTAATTAACCATTGTGCAACCAAGACTCCTTTCATACACAGCAGCAACTCAAATATTTGTTTATGGATTGAATTAAGAATGAATGAATGAATGACATGGAAGAGATGGAATGGAACTGGGGACATCAGTAAGACTAAAATCACAAAAAGAGAGTGCTTTGGAAGTTAAGAACAGTAAAAAAGAGAATTTACTCTTTCTTTCTACATTATTTTACTACTCTATCCCACCCCTTAGAATGGTGACAAACAGCTAATACAGAGGAGTCCAGAAGTGTTGAATTTAGGAAGAAGATGCAGGTAAGGTAAAAGAAGGCAATCACATTCAATGGGAGTTTATGGTAACTAATATCCCCAATTAGGGTAAGTGTTCGCAGGGGCCATTTATTTGTATGTAAAGAATGATAATTTATTGGGAATTGCCTCAACAGATGAAATGTTACAGCCATTATGTTTCCCATAACTTTATATACTTCCCATACTTTTTGGTTACTTAAAATGATTTTTACCTATAGGACTTGAAACATTAAATATTAAAAAAAAGTAATCTATCCTTTTGTTCTTGAATAAATATTAATACAAAACAGATTGCTTCAATATGTGCTTAGATATTCATTCACGAAATATTTCTCAATGTGTTCTGAGGACTAAGGAAAAACTGATAAACTAGTTATCATTTTCCATAACAAAATTATTTATAAATTAGTAAATAGGCAGTTATAAACATGTCATAAATTACTTTGGAATAAAAACAGAGATTAATAGTAGCCTAAAGGAAAGCTACCTTAGGGAAAGATTTCTCAGAAAAGATTTCCAAGAAGTGATGTTGTATTCATTCACTCATACATTCAAGTAATGAATACTGTTTTATGTTATTTTTACATGTCATGATTATTACAGGGATATGCTGTTGTTGACTCTGACTCACAGTG